GCTTCATAAAAGCAGGAAATGATCAGTGCGTTCAGAGGAGAAGGGACAGAGAGGTGTGGAATAAAGGTAAATTATGTGAAAAATAATGCGTTTTTTAACAAACTAAGCATTAACACATGTTAGACTGCACCCCATAAACACAATCAAGCCTATAAAAAAACCAGTCAACCACCCCTTTAAGGTTAGTTAAGATCATTCTTGAGTGGACAGTTGCAGTACTGTGTCAGCGGTGCCCCCTTTTGGATGAAAACCTGTCTTACAGCTGCACATGCATGGACACTATTCATGCAAACATAGTGATGTTGTTCCCATTTGCAATCATAAGCATAGTCATTTCAAAACAAAACTGTATTAAATCCAGTCTCAGCCATAATTAATCAGACTCATGTGTTGGAATTGCTTTTTTTGTATGCCTGTTTTATTTTGTTCTTTGCAGAAGTTCTCTCAGGCTGATTGTGAGGTTTCAGGATGTGAGATGTTTCTTAATTTATTCTGGCAGCTTCTCTCTTTGGCTTGTGTCGTGAGATCATGTGAATCACTCACTCTGTTCTCATTGTGTGCCAACAGATTTTTCTTGGGCACCTACAATGTGAATGGCCAGAATCCAAAGGAAAGTCTCAGTCCATGGCTGGCATCCACTGCCACTCCTCCAGACTTTTACCTCGTGGGGTAAGACTCCACATTATTATATTTATATGAACCTAAACCGCAATGAAGTTGAACAGATCAGTGTTTCTGATTCCCTGCTGTTTTCCATCTGTAGTTTCCAGGAGCTGGATCTGAGTAAGGAGGCGTTTCTCTTCAATGACACTCCTAAAGAACCTGAGTGGATGTTAGCCGTCTACAAGGGCCTCCATCCAGATGCCAAGTACGCTTTAGTAAGGACTTCCTCTGCCCTCTCACCCATGACCTAGTGTGCACTATTGTCCTTAATCCAGATCTTAAACTCAAAAACATAGAATTATTAGAATATGCTGCTGATATGGATGGATTATAATTAATAAAATAATTAATTAATTAATTAAATGTAATAAATAAAACAAACTACTTACTAGGAACGCAAGACACCCCAGGTGAATAGAATACTAATAGAGATCACCATATTTCCCCAGTTGATAGATTACTTTAAGAATTGTATTACAAGTTTCAGAAATGTTCTGTTTAAATATGCAAATGATGCATTGTCTAATTTGATCTGCATTATTTTGCATACATTTCTGAACTGAATACGGTCTGTACATTAGGGAAAGTTCTAAATTAATTTAATTTTTATTATTTAATTTTGTTGACAGCATGTATGTATATGTGTGTGTATATATATATATATATATATATATATATATGAAGAGTTCATTTGCAAAAACCAATAAATAACTGAGTGCCATGCATTATTCTCCACATATAGCGCGATCTGAACCCTAAATACGTTTTGACAAAAAAGCCGGTATTGTCAACTTTCAAGTCATCGCGAGTTCACGTTTTACAGCAGAAGCCGACAAGCGCCCTTGTTGTTTGTGAACAGAAGCCGATAAGTCCATTTTAGCGAATCAGCGCGCTGTATTCAGGTCAGGTGTTGCAAAAACCGATAAACGCCACAAAAAAAAAAAAAGCTGATTGCCGTGCATTATTCTCCACATATAGCGCGATCTGAACCCTAAATACGTTTTGACAAAAAAGCCGGTATTGTCAACTTTCAAGTCATCGCGAGTTCACGTTTTACAGCAGAAGCCGACAAGCGCCCTTGTTGTTTTTGAACAGAAGCCGATAAGTCCATTTTAGCGAATCAGTGCGCTGTATTGAGGTCAGGTGACAAGGCTGCCAGTCACTTTGAAAAGAACTTGATGAACCTGTGATATCTTCTTCAGGGCATAAAAGGAAAATAAAAGCTGAAACTTTTTCACGGAACCTTGCAAAAGCAGCGCATTACAATGATGAGGGAAAAGCTCCGTGTATTGCGTGTAATCACATCCATACAGTTTATGATCACAACAACAACAGCGTTTGTCAGATAGTAATCACAAAATTGACCAGTGCCAATTGTCATTTCATTTAATCAAGCCTTTCTGATCATTTGTGTTTTGCAGGTGAAGCTGGTGCGATTGGTGGGCATCATGCTGTTGTTCTATGTGAAGGCGGAGCATGCGGCACACATCTCTGAGGTGGAGGCTGAGACTGTCGGCACAGGCGTCATGGGGCGGATGGTGAGTGGTATCTGTTTTTAAGAAAACAATTAAACAGTTATTCAGGACAGTGCGACTGACCTGATTGAAGCTAATGCATAGTTGTATAAGAGTCCAAAATTAAAAATCGCAAAGCCCCAAATGCTAGTAAAAAGATGATGGCTGCAATTGTATTTTTATTATTGTTGTTATTTATAATAATAACAATTAATAATAATTAATAATAATAAATACTGTCTTTACCATATTGCTTCTGAAATTTGCAAAAACTACAATTATGTAATAAAATGGATAGTATGATATATTATGTAAGGGAAACAGGTCAATTTAGCTCAAAGGGAATCATTTAAGATTTTATAGGGAATTTGGACAGAATCACTGTTTTACGGCTGATCACTGAGACGGCCAGCGATTCATTGAACGAGCCATATAACATCAACTCTGCAATGGATATTAATATCCAAAGTATAGTGAAAACACTATTAATTAGCACAGTAACAAGATCGGCAGTTTAAGACATTAACTTGTGAGCACAAAACACAAGATACTTCTCTTTTCAATATCAATAAGGCTTTATTGGATAAATCTAAGACCTATAAACTAATCTAACACAGGAACACACGCATTCACACAAGTTGCAGAAAGTGAGAAAGTGAGGAAAGAATAAGTTTAAGGAAATGAAAATGTGAAATCCCAAGTTTACAGCAATATGTGCAATTGCATAGACCTGAACAACCATCAATCACTTAATTAACCCTCGCATTGAGTTCCTCAATGAGGTTAAAATTTATATTAAATGCACCAGTTCAGCTAGAATCTGGAGGTACTTGCGTTGCCTGTGTGTGGGGGTTCCCTTTGTTGTGGTCCTTGCAGAACAGGGGGTTTCCCGCGGTCGCTGATTGGCTGGAAGTTCAGTCTTGGGAAGCCAGTGATTGGGCGTTGGCTGGCGACGCGGAGCTGTGGTCTGCAGTTGAAGTTTAGACGGCACTCTTTCGGAGATGCGGCGTTAGGCAAACTTAACTCGAAACACGAAACTCTCAACGGAAAATAAAATAAACTAAAGTAAAGAAATAGAAGTAAAGTTTGACGAGACTAGGTGGCGTTTCTCCTCATGGTTTTGGAGGAGATGGCGTGTAAGCCAGAGCACGCTCAAAAAGCTAAAAAAGCATGACTAAAAAGCATAGCTCAAAGCTATGACTAAAAAGCCGCATGGCTAAAAGTGATGACTTGAAAGCACATGACTAAAAGGCCAAAACTAAAAAGCAGGGAAAAGGGAAAAAGGGAGAGAAGGGGAAAAAGGGGATGATTTGATGGTGTCCTGAGTATTTAAACTGGGCTTTTGGACACCTCCCAAATGGTGTTTTGACCAATTAGACACTGTCTTAGCTCGGGGTGTTGCGATGTTTCTCCTCCCAATTCATAAATCAAAATGTTA